TCTCTCTCTCTCTCTCTCTCTCTCTCTCTCTCTCTCTCTCTCTCTCTCTCTCTCTCTCTCTCTCTCTCTCCTCCTCTCTCTCTCTCTCTCTCTCTCTCTATTGCACGCGCGAATCGAGCGTAGTGTAGCGCGGGTCAAGTCGGGATCTCACGCGATTCGACTACGCAGGGCACGTATTTCGTGGCACCATCGAGTCGTTAGAATTCAACCTCGGGCGCGTTGTGCTCGGATCGTTGGAAATAATTAAGCTCCCACCGCGCGCGGTTCGGGCCGTGGGACAAAGTCCTCGAGGGTGGAAATTGCCGGACTTCGACGGACGGATGACGACGCGGCTGTAAGAATTTCATTGTCCGGAAAATTAATTAAATAGCTCGATCGAACGCAAATTGGTCGTGCGACCGAGTTTTTACGAAGGAATCATCCGTCGGCCGGAGAAAATTCGATCGTATCAGCCGTCGTGCCACCGGTTGCTCAATTCAATAACGTAGTGTCGAAGGGACGGATCTGCACTTCGTTAAGATGATCCAGTGAGATTAGTTAAGTTATTGTCTACGTTATTTATTACGTTGATCCGTCTCATTATTCTACCTTTCGCGGTATAATTTATTACTCGAATATTCGCAGCGTTATCTATTTTCGCATATTATGTTAAAGTAAAATTAAAAATTAAATTAGACAAAATTAAATATATATATTTATTAGATTATTCGTGAAACATTGCGGAAAATATCAATTAAATACTGTAATAATGATGAGAACTTATTTGTCGAATGATTATTTCGTTTGAAAAATATTTTATATGAGATAAAATGGAAAATGTAATAAAGGTACAAGTATTTCAGATAGGTTTTAGCGAATAGCAGTAAAACTCTCCCCTTTCATTTAAAAAGCAACACCCATCTCATAAATGTGCACTTTGCGCATGAAGAAGGAGCTTGTTTCGTAGAAGTAGAAATTGTAAGAAGTAAAATACGGGATTAGGAGGGGGCCGTACTTGCTATGGAGACGATTTCAAATGGATTTGCTTGCAGCAAAGTGAGCTCAGGTCGGTCGCGGCCGACGTAATCGCCAGAATCCATCCTGTTATAACTTATGCAAGTCTTCGCATAATCCGGGAGCGTCCACCCTCTGTGTTATACATTTTCAGAGTGTACCATAAAGCGCGTTGAACATGTAAATTTAGTGGCGTTGCGCGGATTTTCATTTCAAACGAAAAGCCAATGACTATGCGCGGGCGCAAAAATTTTTGTACGCTGGATATTCATGGCTATCGTCAAGCATGACGCTTACAGGAATGAAATTCATTTTGCATATCCGTCAGACATCTTTATCTTGCATTAATGAACCTACGACATTTGCATACGGAAACTTTTCCATGCCATATTGATGGATTCAAAATATTTTCATTTTAGATCAGAAAATTTTCAGAAAAAGGTTGATGGAAGTGAAACTTAAAAGAACAACATAAGAATGTGTAATAACGTTTTCCTGATCAAAATTATAAAAAAAAAAAATTGTGGTTTATTTTTTTTTTATATTGCTCCGCTTTTATAGTAATCCGCATATTTTTATCATGCCCGTAATTTCTGAAAGACTTCGCAACAGGGATTTATATGATTTATGGCTCTTCTGATAATTTCTATGCAAATCGATTCGATTCGACGGTTCGGTCATAATTTACGATATAAAATGGCCACACGCATGCATATACAGGTACATATGTGCTCGTTACAATAGCAATTCCGCAAATTATTCTCGTTTCGCAATCGCTTCTAACTTGATTACATATTAATTTATAATTATTGTTAAGTGGAGCGTACATTTCATTCGGAGATTGTCGTAATTATAATAAACGTTAACTAAAAGTACAAATTAAAATATGATTATTCCTAATTACATCTATATTTAATCGCAAATTACGTTTCTGATTTGCAATTGTACTCGACTGAATTAAAATTGAGCTAAATAGCAGATTAATGCGTGACGCCTCTTGCAAAAATTATCTAATCCAATTTTTATTTTCATTAAAATTGATCATCCGCGTTATATTTAAATCGCTCTCATTAATATATAAAGAAAGATTTTCACACATTTATTTGTCTAGTAAATATATTCTTTTATTCAAGCAAATTTCAAGTACCTTTATCGATGCTTTTAATGCAATTGAGATCGGCCGGCTCTTTTTTCCCACACAATTATACCATCGATCGTTCGGTTTTATTTTCTCCGAGAGAGAAAATTGGAAATGGGTTCGGAGATAATAGTTGTAGCAGCATGTGACGATAAGGGGATAAATTTGACCGTGAGAAATTTGTTCCACGGGGAAGATGCAGAAGATACAACTCGGTGTACAGGGTTGCTTGCACGCGGCAGGATAAACCTTCCGGAAATCGCCAACAGTTTTCAACATTCGCTAAAAGAAGGTAGACGGCGAGGAGAAAAGGCATTCTCGGAAGCCCGGGCCTCCTCCTCCTCCTCCCCCCTCTGCCCCTTCTACTTGGCGCCGTTTCCTCTCTTCTCTTCACCTGCGTCCTGTTCACTTAGCGTCCCCTGTGCTTTTTGCCAGCTTTTCTTGCGCCCGCCTCACAAGTTTCCGCAGTTTCTATCTCTGCTTATACACCGCCTGGAGCTTTTATCTTGCTCTTATCTTGCCGAGGTACGACGCGACGCGACGCTCTCGGGAAGAATTCGCCGTGGTCTTGTTCGGCGCTTAAAGTAAAGTTTAAGCCGCATCATTGAATCCATCGATCCTTTCTTTTTTTTTTCTCTCTTTTTCCCGCCCACGTGTCGCGCTACAACTATTTCTTCAGTTTCTTTGTAGGTCCTCGGTTTCTTTTTTCTTTTTCGTTTACGTGCTTTATTGTTTTCGATCTGTTTCTCGCGCCCTCGATTATTATTACGGTATCCCAGACTCGCCACTAGAAACAAACCCATTTTTTTCTCCACTTTGCTCTCATCGCTCTCGTTATCCTTTTTGCGTCTCCATTTATAAACTGTTTTCTTCAGTTTATCTCGTCTCGCAGTGGCCTCGCTCTATTAAAACTTCGCGTGCCTTTGTCTCTAACTTTACCGCGCCGCCTACGCGCCGCACTTCATTTCTTCGCCGTCCCTTTTATTTTCTCCCGTCCCCCTTATTTGATCCCCACGTTGCCACCTCGCTACCTTTAGTATATTCATTCCCTTTCAAGTAGCTGCGTACACCGCTGTTAACCGTCACCTTTCCACGTCGCCCTCTTCCTCTACTCGGCGCCGACCCTATGCTCTTGCCTTATCTAGAAAGTGTCACCCCTTCCGCTCGTGCCGTCC